TGATCCAATTTGGTAAATACAGCCTCTCATATGAATACCTATTTGGAACCTGATGATGGAAGATTCAAACTTAGATACGGATATGGAGTCAATACGAGTCCAGAGGCCACCATCATTGGAGTCTTGTAGATTTGCAACATCACGCAAAAATTGTTTCAAGAGACCTACATCTCCAGCTGTCCATGAGTCTTCTGGAGTTGAAAAAATTTTTGCGGAGGCTCAAGACCTTCGCCTCATCAATAGATATATTCTTTATATACATATCATATATGCCAAACTCTCTTTTGTTGTTAAAATTGAAATTAGTCTCTCTATTGCATCCAATATCAATAATGATCCTGTAGGCGGATAAACGATTGTGGACAAAATAGATATTTATATAAGGAGACCGGATTAATTAGTCAGGAAAGAATCCGGATCAAATAAGGAATTATAATTAGAGTATAATGTATTTATTGCGAACTCAAGGTGCCTCTTGTCGTCCAAATACTAAATGTTCCCTTGTCTCTTCGCCGTCGCTCCGACCTCGGCGGTCCTCGATCGTAAGAGAGAGTGTGTCCAAAAAGAGAGCGTTCTGTGTATATCTCTACCAAAAATCACTGATACTTATATCGCTCCTAATTTCCCTAATAATCCCTTCCTATCATACTTGAGCCAATCGCTAAGCGACAACTAACCCGTGCTCTGGTTTGTTTTCGAACGGTCGCATCTGTTATTTTCTACACGGATCAAATCTCTTATTATTCGCACACGGTAACATAAATATAAATAAATAATCGAACACGAGGACGAGACGACAAGGCGACAATAATATGATGGCGTGATACATACTCTCGAAAATAATCGCACGCCTACAGTTCGGCCATTCTGACATTTTGGCCGTCTCGGTCAAACGATAAAATAAAGCAAAATAAAATACGCAAGTCTCGATTCCACCCTTAGGGAAGTATCGCGTTGTCCGACGAACAATTTACTCAATTCTGAGTCATTATACAATGTATATACGGACGCATTTGATCGGGCGCAAATATACCAGTTATCGTTTTATTAAATCTTTCCACCTGTCCGTTTGCTCTCGGCGTGCTCACAGCGATTGATACGTGCTCTATGGCACCGGATTCCAAGTATCTCTTAAATACGTCAGATGTGAAACAGGTTCCTCTGTCCGAAATTAAACGTTTCGGTTTACTATACGCGCGGAAATATTCACAGAGATACTTTATCGATTCCTCCGATGCTGTCGACTTACGCGGGTAGAGCCGGATAAATTTAGCGAACGCGTCAATGACAACAAACAGGTGACGGCTAAACTTAAAGACAGAGTTTTTTCTAATCAAATCGTACAATGGTTTTGCCACCAATGAAAATCTCGGAATAAATTGACGAAAATAATTCACGAATCCGACGAACCTATGTACGTCCCTGATGTTACGTGGTACAGGATAATTCAAAACAGGCTCTATATTCTCGTCGGTGTCTCTCGTCGCAATCTCGCGTAAGATTTCCTTGTCCGCGACCGATAATCTCCGCGGGCGCATACTTATCGGTTGTTCATGTTTCGGTGCGATAATCATTTCGAAATCCGGCACGCACTTCTCCGCTCGAAGATTACTTAAATAACCAGATTCATAGATCTCGCAGATCTTTTCGGTTGTATCTTTATCAACGTCCGGATTAATTTTCGATTCTTCGCGTGAACATGCGGCACTGTCGTCGCATTCGATATGCATCATTTGATAGACAACACGCGCTTCTTCAGCATTCGCAATTTCGCGATCTCGTCCTAATGTTACGCGCAGCGACGGGCAATTCAAGAAATCCCTACCGAGCAAAACGCTATACGCCATCGTATTAGGAGGCACCGTATAAAATTTCATTTTCAAGCGCACTTTTACCTCCAAATCGGCGTGAGCGATACCGTCAATATTTAACTGCGAGCCGTTAATTCCGCAAAACTGATCGATGCTCTCACCGGCGAGCAGACGTGAGTCGCCCCGAATTATCTCGCTTTTAATCAAACTAATTGGAGAACCCGAGTCTATTATTGCATCCACCACGTAATTATTGAACCCGTTATTCTCGTTTTCCATTATAATTTTTACGGTAATCGTATAAGGTTTTAACAACGCGACAGGTTGTACGACGTTCATCGACGCAGTTTGCGCACCATTGTTCAGCGTTTCCGACGCCGCGGACCGACTTCGCTTCGGACACTCCCTAGCCAAATGATCCGGAGATTCGCACACATAACACACTCGCTTTGCCTGTGGTCGCACGCACTGATCCGCAGTATGTCCTGCTCCGCGACACCTGTAGCACCTCGTCGAGTCTCTCCGTGTCGATGTCTCCGCTCTTCCTCCGCTAGTTGTCCTCGCTCCGTCTCCCCTCGGTCGGACGTCTGGTCTCTCTGAATGTACTCGAACCACCTTTTCGAACGCCTTCAATAATTCTCTTCTAGATTGGAAGTTCATCAGGCGCGCCTGGCTCTGCAGACGAGGATCGGTCACTCCTTCGATGATATAATCGAGGAGCTCGTCTTCCGCGATCGGTATGCGATTCGCGAGAATCACCTTCTCGTGATAATAATCACAGAACTGCTCGTCTCTCTTCCACACGCGAGCCTCAAATTCTCTCCTCGGCGTCAATTTTCCTGGTCGCAGATCGAACATTGACTCCATCTCTCGCAGAAGGTCCCCCAGGTCCAGTGTCACATGCTCGGCCCTTGAGTGAAACCAAGACAACGCACGGCCTTTCAACCGAGAGCTAATTAACACTCTCGTCGAATTATCGTCCAGCTGATACGTGCGTCTCAATAACTCCAACTGCTGCTTCCACCTCCAGAAGGTGCTATCCGTTGCGTCAAATTCAGGCAGCAACTCCTTAATTCCCCTCACACCGCCGAACGCAGAAATGACACTGCCGTTCGTTGTCGTCGGTGTGGAGGTTGCACTTCTCATTACTTCTATTTCTCGTTGAAGTAACTGCCGCTCTCTCTCCAAAATCTCTCGTTCTCGACGCAATAGCAAAAGTTCTGCCTGCATCGCGTCGTCACACTCTCTCGGTTCCGGCGTCGTCATGCTCACTCGATCCGCTAGTCTCGGGGTGTCGTCCACGGTCTCCATCTCCATAGCGTCACCTTGTTCACTGGGCGAACGCGCAGTTTCCGAATCCAGGATGTCATCCGAACAAATCGCTTGCCTCCGTTGATCCCTTAATTTCGTCCACACACCTGAGTCGTTGGTGTTCAGCCGCTGGATGAGCTCGGCCTTTGATCCTCCTAACGTCAGTCCCCTCTCGCAAAGAGCCTCCTTCATCTCGGCAATGGTAAAGTCACTTGGCTGCATCGTTTCTGTCACTCCGATTCGCTCGACTATTCGGCACACCGCGATGTCCACGATACTCACGCAACCCGACGATCACCACGCGTCAATCGTCTCTACCTGCGCGTCTCACACTCGACACGTATCGCGAACAAATCCCGAAATCGCCTGTCTCCAGTCGAATTCGCGAAACCGGATGCAACGCCTCGATCCCACTTCTGATAAACTGTAGGCGGATAAACGATTGTGGACAAAATAGATATATATATAAGGAGACCGGATTAATTAGTCAGGAAAGAATCCGGATCAAATAAGGAATTATAATTAGAGTATAATGTATTTATTGCGAACTCAAGGTGCCTCTTGTCGTCCAAATACTAAATGTTCCCTTGTCTCTTCGCCGTCGCTCCGACCTCGGCGGTCCTCGATCGTAAGAGAGAGTGTGTCCAAAAAGAGAGCGTTCTGTGTATATCTCTACCAAAAATCGCTGATACTTATATCGCTCCTAATTTCCCTAATAATCCCTTCCTATCATACTTGAGCCAATCGCTAAGCGACAACTAACCCGTGCTCTGGTTTGTTTTCGAACGGTCGCATCTGTTATTTTCTACACGGATCAAATCTCTTATAATTCGCACACGGTAACATAAGTATAAATAAATAATCGAACACGAGGACGAGACGACAAGGCGACAATAATATGATGGCGTGATACATACTCTCGAAAATAATCGCACGCCTACAATCCAGAAACTTCGCAGAGTGAGGCTCTCGCTTCCGTTAATTTGAATCCTCGAAATTCCACATTGGGTTGATTCGGGCTCATTGCTTTCGGTAAGCGCATATCAAAACATATTAATTTATTCAGAGAGGCGTTTGACCTCAAAACATCTGGTAGCAATCGATTCGTTGTTTCTTTTCCGAATGGAAACACAGCGAATAAATTTATTGATAGCTTTAATAACAAAGTCAAATCTATGTTCCAAGGGGACTCTTGGATAGCATATGTCCCTAACTATAAAGTAATGCCAAAGAATGTAGACGAGTATAGAAGCACGGTTCTCGGTACCTCGCGAGTCGCACAAGCTTGGGTACTTTGCTATAGTTTACGTCATGTATACTGTACTGAAATGCTATAGATAGTACAGTATACGTGACGTAAACTATAGCAAAGTATCCCAGCTCGTGCGACCCGCGGGGTACCGAGAACCGTGCTTCTAGGTAATACGTCAATTTGTTCTTAAAGGCATAGATGATAATGATATTGATGAGCTCAATAATAATATTCGCTCTCCTCCGGAATGGGGCACTATTTGGATCCCTCCGTTTGAAATTACAAGGTTGAAAAGAAAGGTCCTCAACAGGGGAAATAACAACTCAGTCACCGTAGAGTATAAAGACACCAACTCATATATTGCTTGTTTCAAATCTTCGGTGGTGCCGTCATCATTAATATATATGGGAAAAAGAGTGACACACTAGAGCCTTTCATTGGGAGAGTTCGTTGTTGTCAGAAATGCCAGCGCTTTGGACATTTGGCCAGGTTTTAGATCTCATGCTGAGATGTCACTGTTTGTGTCCGTTGTCGTCTTGATACGACCCCTTCCTTGCACGACATAGAGAAGTGTAGATCTGGACTTCCGATCGAGCGTTCGTTCAATGCGATGAATGTCGGATAGTTGTCTTGATACAAAATAATTTCTCAGTGCTTAGTGCGAATTTTCTTCTCTTCACTATCTTTTTGTCCTTATATAACACTGGCATCTTTATTATTATTTGCCTTTTAACTACGATTTTTACATATTGTTCATTGCATTTACGTTGTCCTTTGATTATCTTTGTCCTATGATTGTCTGTGTGATAGCAACATGGAAAGTGAGCGTGTTTCTATTATACAAAATTCTTTCACTGATTCTGATTTACCTAGTAATAATTATGACAAAAATTCTGCTTTTGCTTCAATTTTGCAGGTTCCTGTGGAGGAGGAAGTAAGACGCATTATAAATAGAAGGAAGAGATTATCTGAGTCTTCACATAACGAGTCAAGTGGTAAAAAATTATCTACTGATCCTCTGGATTCCGATCCTCGTCTAGTCAATAAATATTCCATGGAATCTAAGCCGCCTTTTTTGGTTCTTATGTTACAGATCCCGCTTGTGTAATTCATCAGGTTCAGACAAATGAAAATAGCTCTGTTAATAAAGGTAACGAAATTATTAATAATAATATAAAGAATCCCAAATAAAAAACGGGAACATACGGTATAATTGCTTTTGGGAAACAAATTTCGATAAATATTAAGTTTTTTAATTCTGCTTTTTGTTTGAAATTTCCGCGGTAGCCGAATTTTTAGCGCTATCACGCGATTTACAATTCACCATCAAGCCGATGGTGACATCCTTCGGAGCCACACACAAATTACAAAAGTGCCAGGAATTCGGCTACCGCCCATACTGCGCGACCTGTCGTCCGGTGGGCGCGTGGCAACAGATTGGTTCACGGATCGGAATCCGCGAACCGATAGGTGTGCCTATTCTTACGTCGATGTTATGCTTCCGGAAAAGAAGAAGACCGGCAGATCTCTGGTAGAACGCACGTCGCGAGGACGTGCACCTCTCTCCCGTGTATTCTCAAGTGCGGTTTAGAAACAATATTGTTAAATATCACTTTATTGCACGATTTTTAGTTTGTTTAACAGTTCGTCAAGTTATTTGTTTGCGCACGCCAAGGAGAGCTCCAGAATTACGTGTGACTCTCGACCTCACGTTATTCACGTTGTAAATATTAATAAACCTCTGTGAAGAGTTAATTCGAGAGGAAGACAGCTGCATTTTGTACTTTAGGATCAACGACTAATCCACCTCTCAATCCAAATTTCACGTCATGACGTCTCGGATCGGGCGACACGTTCCTTTATCAAGGAACGAGAACATAATTTTTCAACAAACACTTTCAATTTGAAAACTATTGAGAGATAAATTTTCCGTTATATTTAAAGATAGTAACTCTGCAAATAGATTCGTGGATTGTTTCAATAAAACTGCGCTGGTTATATTTCCGGATGAAAGATGGCTAGCCTACATTTCTAATATTAAGATTATTAAACAATATATTATTTAAGGCATAAATGATGACAACACTCCTCAGGAGATTATTGATAATCTCAGACCTCCTGAATGGAGTATAATTTGGACTTCTTCTGAGGTAGTTAGAAACCTTTTCAAAAAAAGCAAAGCGACGGCTCAATTATAATACTAATTATATTGATTCTGACTTATATTTGGTGCGCTTCAGGACTTCTGTGGTTTCTCCCAGCGTTATTTATATGGGGAAAAGATTGCTTTTATGTCCATTTATTCAAAGAGTTAAACGTTGTAATAAATATCAAAGATTTGGACATATTTCTAGGATGTGCCGTGCTTCTGACAATAATGCTATATGCGTTAGATGCGGATGGAATCCATCTACTCATGGTAAAGGTTCTAAGTGTATGGCTGATAAGCCCTCTTGTGTTAATTGCTGTAGGCATAGGATGGACGATGTTGAACATAATGCTTCCTCTAATAGATGTCCTATAATTTTACAACAAAAGAAAATAAAAAGAATTATGGCATTTAATGACATTTCGCAATCTGAGGCTGAGAGTTTGTTTTATAAATCTAAATCTGAACCTGGTATGACTGAATCTCTGGAGGTGCGACCTCATGGGGCTCACTTCCTACTTTCTATGATTTTCTTCCGCCTAATTTGGCTTCTCCTTATAAATCTTCTGACTTTGGCTCTGTGGCGACGTCTTTTTCAGATATGGTTAAACATGGGAGTGTTGGAGGTTTTGTGCTTTCTGTCTCGATGTCAACTTCGGGATTGGCTTCTTCTTTGTCTTCTCCCTCAATCATAACATCTAAGATAAAATCAATTCCAACCACTTCTAATATTATAAGGAGAGTGAAATATGATAAGGCGATTGAGGGTTCTGCTAATAAGAGTGATGGACCGTTTCGTGTGTCTTCTTCTTTTTCTACGTCTAAATCTAATAAATTAGAAAAGAATACTGAGTCAATTAGTTCTTGTTACGTTTTCGTTCGTCCGTTTTTGGGTCAATATATTTAAATACTTTACCCGGGAGTTGGACGGGTTGTGTGTATTTAGTTTTCAGTCCCGAACAGGAATCTTAGTTTATAAACTTTATAACGCGGATCAGTTTTGTTAATGCGGCGATAGTCGGGATAGTCAGGCTCGACGTTAATAGGAGTTAGTTGGTAAGGAATAGTAGGAGGTTTGTCGATTTGGGTGTTTGCTTCTAAATGTTGGAGTTTTTGCGAGAGGTGAAAGAAATCTTGTCGCAAATCAATCGCTTGTTTTATCTGGTATCTGAGCCGTTTGAGCTGTACTCGTTTACCTGCCCTTTTCTTCATGAGAATGTTAAATAAAACGGAAGCTCCCAAAATGAACTTAAGGTCGCTACGCAAGGCAGCGACCAGTCCGATTCGCTACGCAAGGCAGCGACCAGTCCGATTCGCTACGCTCTTCGGCAGCGAAAGGGGTAAGCTCGATTTGAGAGTTATGGTAAATAATTTCATACACCAAGAGCAGTGTTCGTAGGCGCTACACTCTTCGGCAGCGCCGGTTACCAATTCGCTACACTCTTTGTCAGCGAAAAGGCCGTTCCCCGCTCTCGGAGATGTCCTACGTTATATGTAAATTTTACTCGGATCAGATGCCAAATAACTGAGCTTATTGTGGTATTATCAATTACCTTTTATTCTATGAATGGTTACAAAATTATAAGTCTAAAGTACTGGATTAGTCGTAAGAATAAAGAAACGAAGGATGACAGTCGAAGTTCGCGGAGAACTATAGTTACGACAAAGGTTTCGTTAAGATTTCAACTGCGATGCACAGCGTTTTTCTAGCCCTATTTATACTCGAAATTTTACCACCTCCATCTATGAATTTTGAAGGAGGGAGGCCCTTATCTCGGTTTGTTTATAAGATTTTGTTTATAAGGTTTGTTTATAAGGTTTATAAACAACTCTGGCGATCCTGCATATCGGATGTTAGTTTAGGATCTGAGAGCGATGAAAATTTGTCAATACGTGACGATAAGCAAATTCTAGCGATCCCGCGTATCCGATGTTAGTTTGAGTTAAGATAAATCTAACCGAGAGCAATGAAAATTTGTCGGTACGTGACAGTTCTCCTATTTCTAAAAATTTATTGAAAGCACATTTTCCTTCGTCGTTTGTGGTACAAAAAAACTATGTAAATACGAAACTTAATATTGATTTTTTGAACGAGTAGAACTATCAACGAGTGAATGAATATCAAAATAATCACAAATCCCTGAAAAACGTAAACAAGGACGCTCTGATTGAGATGAGCTATGCTCTGCTTAGTAGAGCCTTGTGTACTTAACACTTCGATACATTATTGTATTATTGTATATATTTTGTTATGAATAGTCTCTCTATCAATATTCTTCAATGGAATTGTCGGTCATTGTTGAGGCGAATTCCCGACTTAATTTATGTTTTGGAAAAGTATAGGATTGCAATAGCTGCTTTGTGTGAGACCAGACTTAGCGATGATTATCTGTCCTCCTTCTCAAATTACGAGCTGTTTTCGTGCAATCGTAATAGACGGGAAGGCGGTATGGCTTTACTGATAGATAGAAGGTTTAAGGTCCCCTTAGTGAAGGCTGCGCGCTTGGATGTGGTCTCTTCTAATAAAATTGAAATTATTTTGGGTAGGGTCTGACTAGATGTTGATAGATGTATCTTTGTTTGTTCTATTTATAGCCCTCCACGTGGGAATACTCATCCCTACACGGATTCGGGGGCTTGGTTGGAAGTACTTCGGATTTGTAAAGGTTATTCTCCCATTATTGTTTGTTGTAAAATACTAAGATCTTATTGCAACAAATTATTTAGCACCACCGACAAGCTTGTTACAAAACATTCGCCATCAATCTTAATTTCGCTATCAAATTGGCCTATCGTTTTAATGTTTTGCGCGCCTATCCCGCAAAACACAATTTCTTGCTGTGTCAAATTCGGTGATCCCACTTTTACGTACTGATCTTTGCGTATTAATGACAGATCGCTGCCCATATCGATTAGCGCGACTAGCTTTTCATTATTAATATTTACATCTTTGAAATATTCACGCTCTGTTTTCGAAATATCGGACATATTTTTAACTTTGTTTATTTTATTAATAAGCATATTTGTAAGTCAGCTCTCCAATTTTTTAAAACTCCATATTCATCTCGACTAAGAGCCAAACGCGATGTTATTGCGACAAATTAGGATAAGAAATTTTTTGGAAATTTTTTGGAAACTGAGGAATTTGAATCCTATGGTTGGGATCTCAGAAATTCCCCTTGTTCCTTCTCTAAACATCCCCTGTAAGAAAAAGACAAGAAAAAATATTGGTCCGAAAGTCGGCTGAATCGGGAATCGAACCCGAGACCTTCCGCTTGCCGGGCGACTGCTCTTCCAACTGAGCTATTCAGACACTTACAAATCAATATTTCTCTCAATGTTTATAACCCCCCACCCCCCCACCAAGGCGTCGTACCTGGTCCAAACGCAACAAATATTAATAAGCATATTTGTAAGTCAGCTCTCCAATTTTTTAAAACTCCATATTCATCTCGACTAAGAGCCAAACGCGATGTTATTGCGACAAATTAGGATAAGAAATTTTTTGGAAATGTTTGTTTATTTTAGTTTTTTTCACAATTCGCCGCAATATGGCCAAATTCTCTGCATTCAAAACACCGCATACCTTTCGCTTTGGATGGACAATCTGCTGCACGATCCTTGCGCTCCGCAATTGTGACATCGCACCGTGCTCTTCGCCGCCCCGGACTTCTCTCTCTCGCTGCGTCCCTGGGCGCGCCGGTCTCTCGCACTTCCTTGCGCTCCGGATTGATTCTTCCCGCGCAGCGACACTCTCTCAAACACTCTGAGTAGCGCCTTCCCCGTTCGCAGTTGTTCGATCACGTACTCCATCAATTCGCCTTCCTTCATCTTAATACCCAGGATGACCTTCTGATGCAAATATTCGTAGAAGGTTTCATCTCTTCGCCAGACACGCTGCTCAAACTGTTTCCTCATATATACTTTTCCCGGCTTGTGGAAGAACATATTCTTCAACTCGCGCAACAGCTCGTCAACGTCGATCTCAGTATATGTCGGATTAGAATGAAACCATTCTTGTGCTTTGCCTTTCAGCCTCGCTCCGATCAAAATTCTTGTTAGATCGTCCGTCAAATGCGTTTCTCAGGGATCTGACACGCTTTTCCCAGAACTCGAACATGCTGCTGTCGCCCTCGAAGTGTCCCAGCAAGCCCGCGACTGCATTTATATTTGTTGTGCTCGACTCGTGGGAGATCACCGGACTCCTCGTCACCGAGTCGTCTCTCTCGCTGTCCACATTTTGTGCCCGTCTCAATAGCTCGTTCTCCTGCCGCATCAACTGCAGTTCACGCTCCATCAATTGTTTCTCTCTCCGGCACAACTCCATTTCTCCGCAAATACTCGACATCACGATCATCGGCGTTCGATTCGCCCGTTTCTTCGCAATCTTCGCGAGCCTCATCTCGTCTCTCCTCTTCCTCGCTCAGCACCCGTGACATCCATCCATCCGCTGGGTCCTTCTCAAAGAATCTGGCTATCAATTCACTTTTCACGCCAGTAGTCGCCAGGCCCAATTCTCGCAATATTTCTTTCAATTCATTGACAGTGAACTCGTTTGCATCTCTCTCGGCACTCGCCATTCCCTCTCGTAGGT